AATCCGCCACATCTACATAGTTTCATTGGCATATTATTATATTAAATTAAGTTAGAATATCTTTATTCATCATTTGTAATTTGAAATGCCTGTTCAAAATTGATATGAAACATTTTGTTAATGTCTTTTGAATTCATATTCACGTAGAAAAAAGAATATGGAGCAAAATTCACTGCTTGATGATACATATCTAATAATTGCTGTTTGTCAACAATGGCGCTATTTTCTTCAATAAAACTCATTAGCTCACTGGCATTTTTCAACCTAAAAATATATAATGAACTGGCATTTAAACGAATGATAGGCGCTAAAACATTATATTTTTGTGTTGAACAAATTACACTTACTGCATCGTGCCTGCCTCTTGTAAATAATCCATGTAATAATTTACTATATCTAACAAATTTAGGGTCGTCTGCGTGGTCATCTATAACGATTAATATTGAATGTAGTTTCTTTATCTTTTTAGATTTCATATAATTAATTAGTTTCTTCTGTCTTTCAATTACATTTTCTAAATCACTTGGATTATAATTATCAAAATAAATTTGTTCTTTTTCATCATCCACGTGCAATTCGTCCCTGATATATTTTTTAACTTCTGTAAATGTAGGGTCGTTATGGACGCTGGGTGAAAATATAAATATTCTTGCAAATGAATTTCTATAAACATTCAATATTAAATTTTGAATAAGGACAGTCTTACCGCCTGTCGAAGAAGCAACTATAATACTTCTAAATGGTAATTTTGGCACGTGCTCATATTTGGATTGCTTGAATTCATATTCAGTTATGTTTATTGGTTTTATTATTGGAACATCTGTCATAATTGATATTAAAGATATATAGAAAATAATTTAATATTATTTATTGTATGAAAGCATTGCTATGATATGAATGGTGTCTATCGTAGTAGAACATGCTCTTTCATCAACTTCAATCAATAAGCATTGAAGCTAATTAGTTTGATGCATTGTAAAGAAAACCCCAAGTGCTGTGCCCTCCGAATATTCTATCATGCATGAAAATAATAAGATTAAATAATTATTTTATCTTATTATTTATATGACTATTATCCATTGCAGTTGTGGTAAAACTTATGATGACAAATATTTATTTAAACATCTAAATTCAAAATATCATCAGAAAATTGTAGAATATAGATGGAATAAAGACGATACAATGAAAAAACTTTACAAGAAAAGAAAGACAGAAATGAAAAAATAGTTTATCATATTATTTAATATGAAAAGGAGTTATACAGATTATATTAATATAATAGATGAAATGGAGAATATAGAACAAGTACTAATAACTGATAATAGATGTAAAAAAATATGTTATTTTATTTTAGAATTAATTAAGTTTTTGATACAATATATTAAAAAGATAAATATTAATATAAATGCCAAAAAAGAAAAACAAAAAGAATAAGATAGGTTTAAGTGTTTCTTCAACAGATGAAGATAGCGGAGAAATTGTTAAAGAACCATCAGTATTTGAGATTGCTTGTCCTATGTGCAAAAAGATGTTAGAACTTAAAAATGAGATAGAAATAAAAAATAATAAAAATTGTAAATGTTCATGTATTCCAACAATTTTCAAAATAAGTAAAAATGATAAGAAAATGAATATTGATAAAACTAAAGACAGTATAAATCTGGAAACGGATGTTCATAATATAACTTTTAAATTTGGTAGGCAAGCAACACCATCCGATAATAATGAAAACGAAACACAGGAAACTGTTAAACAAATGATGAAAAATATATAATTAAATAAATAAATATCTAAATAAATATATAGTAATGTCTGAAAATGAGAATTATAGTATTAATGATTTAATGAAGAAGATAACATTAATTGGTAAAAATATTAAAACCTTAAATGATATGATTAAATCCATTGATGACAAAATGAAACCAGTTGAACGCAATGAAGATAAAGAAAAAATCGAAAAGATATTTCAAGCAAAATCTATAGGAAGACCATCGGGCGACTACCCTACAAAGCAAAAGAAATACTGTGATATGTTGAATACAGGAAAAATCAAACAACCAAAGCAACAAACATTAGAGTTTTATAAAATTACAAAAAATGATGATGGAGTATATGTATTATTTGAATAATTAATATCTAAATAATTCTAATAAATGAATTTATTAGAATTATTTAGCGGAACAAAAAGCGTCGGAACCATAGCAAAGTCGCTTGGATTTAATGTAATATCATTAGACTTGAAAAATGCTGATATCAACACTGATTTTTTGGAGTGGGATTACAAACAGTTTGACAGAAACCATTTTGATTTTATTTGGAGTAGTCCCCCATGCACTGAATATAGTGTAGCAAAAACTAGGGGAATTAGGAATATCGAATATGCAAATAGTATTGTCTTAAAAACTATTGAGATTATCAAATATTTCAATCCTAAGTATTTTGTAATCGAAAATCCACAAACTGGATTATTAAAACATCAGGAGTTTATGGATGAGTTTGATTTTAAAGATGTAGATTACTGTAAATATGGAATGCCTTACAGAAAACGCACTAGGCTCTGGAATAACATTACAACTTGGAAACCTAGAGAATTATGTAAAAAGGATTGTGGCAACATCAGGAATAATAAACATATTGAAACTGCACAACGGCTACCATCAAAAACCAAAGCAGAATGGGGAGACAATCCAGTATTTCATAAACAGGAAGATTTATATAAAATACCTATCGAATTAATATTGGAAATTTTGATGAGTTTAAATTAGGGGCGGGCCCAGAAAGAAAACACACACACACAACCCCGACCCAAAACCCCACTCAAAAGTTGAGTAAAAATACTCAGAAGTTGAGTAAAAATACTCAGAAGTTGAGTAAAAATACTCAGAAGTTGAGTAAAAATACTCAGAAGTTGAGTAAGAATACTCAGAAGTTGAGTAAAAATACTCAGAAGTTGAGTAAAAATACTCAGAAGTTGAGTAAAAATACTCAGAAGTTGAGTAAAAATACTCAGAAGTTGAGTAAAAATACTCAGAAGTTGAGTAAACATAATTAATGTACTTTTAACCATACTATGATTATAACATTTATACCCTTATATGTTATAATTATAATGTAAGTATAGCGTTTTATATATTGAAGGTAAAATCCTACAAGGAGGATGCGAGCGTTAGCGAAGCTCGCAAGCTATGCGACCACGCCCAAACAAATATATGATGAAACTGATGAAACGAAGGAGGGAGTGATGTTGTTGCTGTTCTATTTTTTGTCCGGGAAATGGACAAATCGTTTTTAGACAGTTCGAATATTTTTTTGATGACAAATATTTTTTGCAATATATTTTGCAAAATTTATTTTTTTGAAATGGACGAGGCGAGGAGATTGAGGAAATGATATTTTGGAGGGTAGTTGGTGAAATGAATGAGGCGAGGAGAAAGGAGAAAAGGATGGCGAAAATTTTGGAAAAATGATGATAAAAAAACGGATGAGATGGACAGAAAGGAATGTAGAAAAATGATGAAAACAAATAAGGGTAGAAGATGGAAGATGAAAAAAAATGTAGGGTGGGGGGTATGTATGAAGCAATTTATTTGCTAGGCGTGGCCCTCGACTACTGAATATTGGTTAACCCTCCCCCCCGGCTTAAAAAGAGCTGTGTAAATGGGAAGAAAACAAGGTAAGAGGGGCCTCAGTCTTGTTCAGGTCCTGAACGGCCCTCCAATCTAATGATTAATGAGGCTGGGGTTGGGCTGGGCGAGAAATCCAGCTTGTGTTAAGCATGGTTTATTCTAAAAGTAGTGTTGGGGAACGGGCGGGTGGGGGATTTTCCCGTTTCCGGGTCCTCGGGACGCGTGTGAGAGTGGTTACGAGTGCTTGTTCGCTCAGCCGCATAGCAGGGTAGACCCGACTTGGCACACTTCAGAACGCAGCTTGAAGTAGAGGCAAGCGCAATTTCCAGGTTCTGCAATCAAAACCTTGCCAAGGTACTCTTAAGACAGCCGAACCAACTGCTTGCATGGCAAGGCGCGCTGGTCCAATGAAGTGGAAAGGCACTGAACAGCCCCATTTGCAGAAGTGATCATTCGCCGTGTCTTGCTGGGCATAGGCCACTTGCTGAGGCTGCAGTGCCTGAAGCATCCTGAAGCTCGGGCGCGGGCAAGCTGCGCCAGCAGCCGAGCCTCGGCTTGCGCATGGCCTCGAACACCTCGGCGAGAACCCCCGCCCCGAGCTGCGCCGAGAGCCGAGAGCAGTTCGGCCGGCGCGGCCAGTGGCTGCGCCCGCCCACTTGAACGTGGAGTTGGGGGAGGAGGGACCTTCGGAATTCCAGCTTCGATTTTTCCGGGGAAGACTGCTAACGATTGAAAGGAACTAAGGGAACCCCCCTCCCTGGAAGCTAGCGGTCATGCCCGGACTGGCCAGTGCAGCATGGCACTCGGAGCCGCGAGGAGGCACGAGACGGATAGGCAAGGAGAAAGAAGCAGATGGAAAGCGCACCTGACACAGGAACCGACAGAGGGGATGGCAAGCCACTTGTTTTAGCGCGAATGACCATGTACCCAAGCCAGGTTGCCAAACAGTGGACAATTATTGCACAAGCATGTGCAAGCACTGATTGCGGCTCTTCTTTGTGGGTGAGGGTGGGGAGGGGAGGAGTGGGGTGGGGTGGGGTGGGGTCTGGGTGTTTTCGCGTCGGTGTGTCGGTGTATGAATGTGGGTGGGTGTGGGTGGGTGTGGGTGGGTGAGGTGTTGGAGGTGTCTGGGTAGTCTGAGTGTTTGCGTGCCGGTCTGGCTGTTTGGCCCTGGTTGACTGCGGGTTTGTGTGTGTGTGTTTGATGGTCTGTCCCTGTCCTGTCCTGTCCTGTCCTGTTTGTCGTGTCCTGTCCCCCTTTTGGAGTTTCTCAAAGCAGGTAAACCAATTCCTTAATCACTATTACTACTGAGAAGGAAAGGGGCCGCCAAACCAACTTCTCACTTCCTGAGTGGATAGGCGTATCTTCCCGCTCTTGGCTCGCAGCTTAGCTGAAGTTTCCGGGGAGGCAGTCGACGGACGGCCAGCGCGCGAGCACCATGGACCAGCGGGGGGCGAGGGTTTGACTAAACGTACCCTCCCAGCAATTCACATGGAACCTGACATGCGGTCCCTTTAAAAGGACAAATTGTCTTCCAGGACCACCCCTGTCAAGTGGAAATTACTTCCTGAGTTCCTGAACTTTAGACACTTTTGGGGAACAGGTTTTGTTTGCAGGAGCTAGGGGTATCCAAATTTGCTTTTCTTTTTACAGAGGGGAACTAAAGAGCTACCAGGAGTTCCTTTCAGGACATGATAGTTCGAACTAAAAAGACTAGACTTCCTGGGCTCCTTGCTTTTCGGAATGAGTACCTTTGTCGCCTCAATCCATGGTGAGGCAACTCCTGCTCGAAAAGCCTCTTTTTCAGTGGGCAAGGCCGGAGGACTGGTCAAATCCGTCTTGAACAGAATAGAACCCTTTCCCCAAACCGAGCTTTGCACCACTTGGGCCAGTTCTTTGCGCCCCTTTTTCGTGAGTCCGAAGGGTTGACCTGTCTGTAAGTCCGAAGGGTGCCCGGCAGGGCCCCGGCAGGGCGCCGGCTGCTTTTTCGGACTCTGCAGGACATGGCGGCGATGATGATGAACCCGCAGATGGCGGCCATGGGCCAAATGGCCATGCCAGGCCAACGCCTCGTTTGGTCTTTGCAATTCAAGTGCTTGTTTAGCCACATGTGCAAAAACCTGGGTGCTGAAAGTCCAACATTGGAAGCATTTTGCCAAAGGAAAGCCAAAAGGTGACTGGCGCTTCGAGTGCTCGAGAATATTTTCACCAGGGGTGCGCGTTGTTTTGGAGTTCATCTGGGTTGAAAAGGGAACCAGAAGGAAAACCAGTAACAATCCAGCCATTGATACCCAACCAGCCCCACAGACTGGCCCCACTTTCGGGTTATGACCCACTGCCCTTCTCGCTTCAACCGGGGCCCGGGTTTCGTCGAACCTCATGCCCATTGCCAGGCATGCCGGCGGGCATGGTCCCTCAGGCGATGCCGCAAGCGGTGCCGCAAATGGCAATGACGCAAATGGCAGGACAGAAGTGGGAGGGAAAGGGCGTGGCTTGGCCGGCAAGAGCACATGAAAAGCTCACTCCCTGAGTTCATGGACCTCGAACTTTTTGGATTTGGAGCATTTTAATAGTGGACTGTTTTTGGTCAGCCAACTGAGGAAGTTCGCTTGTTGGAAGACATAAACGGGATCAACCATTAGGAAATCAGGTCAAGTGGCCAGCCTGCGAGCACATGAAACAGGGAGCTCTATGCATATTTGTCCTTTTCAGCTTGTTTCAGCATCTTGGCTTGCCCGGAATCCTGCTGGAGCTTAGGCGGTTGTCGAAAAAGCAAGGGAGTGCTCAGCCAGGGCCCTGCAAGCCGAAGACCCGGGCCGCAAAAACAGCCAACTCATCGCTTTGCAAGGTTGTGTCCCCAAGGCCAGAAGTTGTTGCTGATTTCAGGGATTTTCTTCCACGATCCCTATTCGACACCCAACCTAACACTCCTCTCTTGTGTTTTCCATGTCAACCCTGGGTTCATTCATCAATCTGGTAGATTCAGGATCCCCTCCTGAATGGACCTATATTAATCATCCAGTGAATCCAGTGATTCCTGGGTTTCCTTTACTTGCAACTCTGCCTCCCATGCAGAAGTTGACACTGCCTATCTCAAGTCACATGCTCCGGCCGCTTCGCGTACGGGAGGAGGAGCCCCGGCGCTTGCCGGCGGGGCTCCGGGCGGCAAGGGCGCGCAGTGGCTGGAGCGGTGGTCCCCCGAGAAGCCGCTCGCCTGAGAGAAATGAGAGTGGAGCAGTCCTCAGCCCCTCAAAAGCGGG